AAATCACGTGTAACCCTTTTTTAAAAAAATTTATTGCATTTTTGAACGAATCACGAAATTGCAATTTTTGAAATTTGTGCGCGTGGCGCAGCAATAGGAGGTCTTTAGACCGAGCCAACCATATGTGAGAACAAAAATTCATTTATTTTAAGTTGGGTTTGGGATTGCATCTTCTTCGTTGCAAAGAGCAAAAAATGACATCACTCAGGCCAAGACAGTAGTCTATTTTATATCATATATGTTAAATTTACTATGTAATCCAAGAAAGAAAGAAAAATTTTTGCCATAATAGATAACAGGAAAGTGAGTGAAACAAGCAAGACATGCGAAGCATGTCCATTAACAAAACTAATTTTTCTTTTTTTCTTGGATTACATAGTAAATTTAACATATATGATATAAAAAAATTAATGATATCAAAAAACTATGAAACAGGTCTTTGGAGCATCTTATTGATATAAACTGGATAAAAAAATGGCAAATTGTTTCAGTAAATCCTATTTCTGTGCCAGAACCAGCCTTTTTACACAACAACAGCAAGTCTAAGTTGCATAAATTGGCTTTCATTTCCATACAGAATAATAGAAGCTGAATGGAATAAACAATTTCCATCTGCTGTAGAAGTTCCACAGATTAATTTTTTATATTCCTTGGGTAACAAAAAGCAAGAACCACCATCAATTTTAATATTAGAAGGTAGATGTTTATAAATTGTGAATTCAGGAAGAATTTTATCAGAAGAATTTTTTGTATAATCATTATCTTCTAATTTAAAGTTAATTTAATATAAAAGGCTTCTAAAAATGATTTAATTTCTGTTAAGATAGAAAATGCTTGTTTTGAATTCATTTTGTGTTATATAATTGATCTTTTTTATTTATTGTTTAATTGAAAAAAGATTAATTGAAGTTTTTTGGAAGCAAAAAATTAAACCATATTTATAATCTCAGTTTTTTATTTTTACATTCATTTTATTAATTGTCTTTAATAAAGCTAAACATTTTTGTCAAGCTAAATAATCTGATGACTTTTAAAATAATCATGTATTTTTCCTTTAGATTTAAACTTTTCACATTCTTTATTTTTGTCAATTAATGGTGTTCATTTACCTGACAGATGTTCTTTTAAAAAAAATGATATTTACTTTTGATTTCATTTCCATTTTTCTGTATATAGATAGAATTTAGTATGGTATTTAAAAAATGAAAATGATTTTAAAAAATGTGATACGATTTTAAATATCATTGTTAATATTAATAATAAATATATTATTAATATATTATATTAATATAATGTCTGTTAATATTAATATTAATTAAAAAAAATACAAAACATTTAGTGGATCGGATATTCTCATGGGGAAAAAAATTAGTGGATGATCTGTAAGATATTTTAGTGGAAAACTACATGATTATACAAATGTTCATCAGTATATTTTACAACAAACTTCTTTGGAAGCTTTGTACGGTGTCAAGCATAGTGGAAGTTTGTTGTTACACTAAATGTTGTACAGAACTCATTGCTTCTGAAACTTCGCCAGTGTATAGTCGTTACCTCTCTAAATTGGAGATCAAGTTCGGATCCAGTTTATCACTTACTTTTTATTGCCAGAATGTTTGCCGTGTATTGTAAAGCTACGTTGCACAATATAAAAAATTAGTGTAACATTTCAAATTTCCACTATGCTACGGTGTCATACATCTTGTACTTGAAGTAGTCAATAAAATAATTCTTTTTGGAGCTGAAAACCTGAACACAAATTCTTAACAATCAAAATTCTTCAGCTGAGATAGATTGCACCAGAGAGGTTTTTATCAAGATACACTAACCGGAAAAAAGTATTTGGACACCTATTTACGTTAATTACCCAAAAACATACATAATATCAAAATTGTTTATCAAAGTGCTCAAAAACCCACATAATTATTATATTAAACCCTTAAATTCAGAGAGTATCTATCCAAAACATCACTTGTCTATTATTTTTAGTAGTTCGTTTCGATTATATTCAGATTTTAGAAAAGAAATTGTTACCATTAATAGAGAGGGATTTTGATGTGAGAGGTTATTTTTTTCAAGATGATAATGCACCAGTCCACACAGCCAATGATGTTCAAATTTGGATTCGAACAAAGTAAAATTATTAAAAGAATAGTCGTCTCAACCACCTGATCTTGACCCGATTGAACATCTCTGGAGTGAGCCGAAAAGGCGATTAAAAAATCGAAAAAAAAAGCAGGTGAACTGGAAATTGCACTGAAAGAAGAATGTCAGCAAATTCCTTACGAAAAATTACATACACTCATTGAAAGCATGCCAAAAAGAATTGAAGCATGCATTTCTAATGAAGGATGGCCAACTGAATATTAATTTTTTTTTGTTCCTCGATTATTCGATTTGGTTGAAATGCGTATTTTTTTATTTATTAAAGTTTCACATAAGCTGAAAAAATAAAATTTTACATGAATATTTTTCAAAACCTAAATTATAAAATGATATAAATTTTATATGTGGATATTATGTATGTTGTTGGGTAATTTAATGTAAATAGATGTCAAAATACTTTTTTCCGGGTAATGTATCATTATATAATTGTTTTTTCCAATTATTTTAAGAATATTGTATGGTAAGCAAATAAAATGAATAAAACGAATAAAAAGATTGAACAATTGAATAAGAATCTGTATTACTATTACGAATAGAAACTCTAACTATTACTTTTATCCTGGTACTAGTATTGTATTATTAATTTTTTTTTATTGAGCAAAATGTGTGTTTTTTGTTATTCTAAGTAACGCATCTCAACCAAGTGCATATACTGTTGAATCCTGTACTAAAACGCCAGACGTAAAAATGAATGTAAGAGAAAATTTTTATCATTTGTTATTCAGTTTTGGTGTACAATTTCAAGCCCTGAACCTTATTATTATTATTCTTATTCCTATTTAAGAAATTATTAATTAATTCCAAAGTAAAAAGTCAACCCATTTGTTACATAATTCTGTGCATATTTTTTCATTACTATATAAATTATATATATATATATATGGTAATAGTAATTATAAAATTTCTTTCCATAAATTTAATTATGCATTTGCAAAAATTATTCCTTCCGATAATTGCATTCTTGCTCCTATTTGTTGAAGTTGATGCAGCAGTTGAAAGAACAGTTTGTACCGCATTTTGGGATGAACGTGTAAGGGATTCGACTGCTTGTAATACACTTCATCCCAATGAATTGAATACTCCAACGTGTTCGTGTTCGCAAGATTACCTTGAAGCTTATGTTTGGTAAATAAAAGCATTTGATTGAGGTCATCGAATTCCATTCATTCGTACTTTATTGATTTTCCTGCCTTTATTGTTGTCTATTTAGTTTTTTCCTCTGCGAGCTTTACGCTACTGTTCCTTATTATGATATCAAGCCTCAAGGTAAGCATTGGCCCTATGAAAAATAAAATATATACTGGATTGCAGTCTTCAATATTTAATTTTCATAATAATAAGGCGGAATTTTATATTAAATTATTCCTTGTTCTTTAGACTTACTAATATATTGCTTTCAAAATATTAATAGTTTATCTAATAGATTATTGCGTCAAATTGAATTACAACGGATTATTTATCCCTCCCAAACCAAATTGTCCAAAAAACTTCGGCATTCCGGCAAATCTTGCTAATCCAGTCTAAAATGGTCCTGGTACCTCAATCTCCTGGACAAACATTTTTATAAAATATTATGTAATTTCATTTAGGTAGAACATATTAAAGTACATTTATATGCAAAAGACAAATAATTTTAATTTTATAAGCTCTCAATTGAGTCGATTTCATGTAATGCTCCCAAAAATTACTATTAAAGTTATCTAATTATACTTAAAGTACTCTTTATTACTGACCTTTGAGAAAGAAAAATAGCTGTTGGAACTGGAAATAATTGGTTTTTTTATGCCAGAAAAGTGCTTTTTTTATGCGAAAGTTAAGTTGACCTATATTTGATTTTATATCATAAATAATGAACTTTAATTTTAAAGTTATGCTGACGTTTGTTACGAGCGTGTTTGGAAAGGATTATGAAAAATACCACTTTTTTTTTGAGTATGCTCCTTTCTCCCCATTGTTTGATTAAACGTTTTCCACGTGGTCTTGTGTTATAATTTTGCCAGAAATTACTTACAGTATGTTGAAATTTGTATGTATTGCTTTTTTGAAATTTTTTATTAACAACCAATAATGATGAAAATATTTTTGGGAATCGAAAAACTCATTTCATCGAAATGCACTAGAAATGACGAAAGACTAAACCTTGATGAAAATCAAAATCATTGAAGTAATTGGCAAAATTAGTAGTTGTATCCGTTGATTATCCAGATGTTTGAGTACTTGGTCAATCAATAAAGCTCAACACCCCGGATAATCGACCATTCACCGAATACCCGCCGAATATCCACTGAATGTCTGTTGAATATTCATTGATTTATAATAATTATTTATTTGTCAGGAAAAGATTTTCAATGCATTATATATTTTATTTTATTTTTTAAGAAATACAAATAACAACAGATTCAATTTTATTCGTTTGGATGTTATTGTGTTTCCAGCTTCACTAAATACAGTCAAACCTTGTTACAGCGGATGAATGAAGATTTATTTAAACCCGTTGTGGCGAGATTGCTGATCTTACCACAACGGATTTTTATATGTTTTTATATTTTAATGTGAATGTGAAGCAAAATTTAAAAAATCTGTTACGTCAAGAATTTAATTATAGTCCACTGTGAGAAGGTTTAGCTGTAGACGCTCATTTGGAATAGAAGTTACTGCAATCCATAAATATTCTTTAGATTATAATAGAAAGAATGTTAGTGATAGTGTAATAATAGTGGATAAAATAGTATTTTATTTACATATTAATGTATTAAAAAAAATTCTTTCAATTACGTGGATATGAAAATTTCAACACCCGGATAATCGGTGAATAATCGGTGAATATTGTTCAGCGGATATAACCACTACATCCAACGAAAGTAAAAATTTGTTCTCAAAAAATTATATTATTACCTTTATCCTTGGCTTGAAATTTGTTCCGGAAAGAAACCTGATTTTAGAATTTTCAATCGGAGTTCTTATTCCTGTCCAACAATTTTAAACCAGATCTGTATACGCAAATCCGGATTTTTAAATATTGAATTTGTAATTATTCGTCATCTCATCATCTGTTGCGAAAGAAATCAAAAACACATTTTAAATGTTGAATTAATAGATTATTCATTTAAAATACTTAATCCAAAAGAATGGAATTTTACAAATGATAATATTTTAAGTTATTAATTATTATGGAATAAAAGAGTTGAGCATTTTCCAAAACATTTTGGAAAAGAAAAGAAACGAATGATAAATTTTTTGATCCATTGATAAAAAAAATGAATGCAAAGATGAATGGATGATTTACAAAATAATAATTAAAATTAAAACAAGAATATCGAGATATGTTTCCAAATATAATTAGATTTTGATTGATTAAATTGCAAATACTTTTTTCAAGTTTACCATTTAAAGAGGATTCTTAAAACAGAACCTAATTTATAATAGAATTGTTTGTTAATAAATTGTTGCAAATAAGGAAATATATAATTAAAATCCGGCTTTTGCGATTTATTTTTAGTCATATATAGTAATAGTAATAACCGGTTACTCAAAATATAAACAATCCCTTATGCAAGAAACCTAACAACCAACTATATACAATAAATTAATATTGATCATCGTGGAAATTTTCCAAAAAATATTATTAAAATCAAACTATTACTATTTGTTACACGATTTAAAGTTTTTTATATGGCTGGCTACCTTCAATCGTACTTACGTTGGTAATAATAAAACTTCTTTCCGTGAATTTAATATGCAATTTCAAAAGTTATTCCTTCCAGTGTTTTTATTCTTGCTCCTATCTGTTAAAGTTGTTGCAGCAGTTGAAAGACTAGTTTGTAGTACATATTGGGATAACCGCAAAAGAGATGCGACTGCTTGTGATACACTTCATCCTGATGCTTTGAATACTCCAACGTGTTCGTGTTCGCAAGATTACATTGAATCTTATACTTGGTAAATAAAATTGATGTCTTCAAATTCCATTCATACTTTATTAATTTTCCTGCCTTTATTGTTGTATATTTAGCTATTACCTCTGCATGCTTTACGCTACTTCTCCTTTTTATGATACCAAGCCTCAAGGTAAGCATTAATCCTATGAAAATATATACTGAATTGCAGTCTTTAATATATTAAATTATTCAGACTTACTAATATATTGCTTTCAAAATATTAATAGCTTATGTAGATGATTGCGTCAAATTGAATTACAACGAATTGACTGTTCCTTCCAAACCAAATTGTCCAGACTTTCTTAAAATTCCACCGTCAGCTACTGTTAACTCAACTACAAAAGGTCCTAATCCCTCATCCTCCATGCCTCCTGGTAAGACGGACCCACCCGGCAATTCTCCCACCCAATACAACTCTCCTACAAATAACAACTGCAATAATGTAACTGTTATTGGCACGGCAAATATTAATTGTAATAATAACAATAATTCTCCCACAACCATCATCATTACTAGATTAAATTTCCTTTGTGGTTTATTTTTGGTTGCTACATTCATTCTATGAATGGGCAATAAAAACATAATTACCGGTGACTTCATGAGCATAAATAGACAAACATTTTATAAAATATCATTTAAAACACATTTTAATGTAAATAGCAAATAATTTTTTAAGTTATAAGCCCTCAATTAAGTCGATTTCAAGTAATGCTAAGCAAGAGCTAAAAACTACTAGTAAGGTTATTTAGTATTCATAATATACTTAAAGTACTCTTTATTACTAACATTTGAGAAAGAGAATGACTTACAAATATTGAAATCGGAAATTATTGCCAGAAAGTGCTTTTTTTTATAATAATAAGAAAAGTATAGAATGAAAGATGATGAACATACAACATTTTTAAAATTTCAATATCGACTTTTACTTTTTAAAATATCTCATAATAAAAATTTCATAAATCAAAAATCAAAAATCACATCCGTAATCACAAGTACCAAAGTTATCAAATGATATAAAATCACAAATATTTATTTAGTATATTTTTGTAATAATGTAAAAGAAATTTTGGATATAAACTTTTGGCGATTATTTAATTTTTTGTATTGTAAATAAAGGACTTTAATTTTAAAAGTTATACTGACGTTTACTACAAGAATTATGAAAAAGTATATATCTCTTTTTTTTGGCATGCTCCTTTCTCTCCACCGACTAAGCGTTTTCCTCTTCCATCCTACTTGACCTTGCGTTTATAATTCGCTAGAAATTACCCATGTTGAAATTTGCACATATTGCTTTTTTGAAAATTTTTGTAATTGAAAATTTTTATTTGATTTGGCATTTTCTTTTTAAAGTGAATCAGCATTTGTATTAATGTTGGTTGCCGAAACTATTTTGAAGAAGCGAGAGTCAAAACTAAAATTAAAATTTATATGTCAAAGCTAAACCAAAAGTCAAAAGTCAAAGGTCAAAACTAGTTTCGACTTATGGCGAAACCTTTTGACTTTCGCACAGTTGCGAAACTCTCTGGTTTTGGAAACCAACATTAATTTGTATGGATTATGACTATTAAAAAAATTTTTTTATCATCCTTCAAATCCATTATTTGACGATTTATTTTCCTCTCCCACCCACGATGATAATGGTTGGTTATGAATTCATTTTATTAACGATCTGTTCATGAATCAGAGAACTTGCTACAGAAATACTAATCTTTATACCCCAAACCAAAAAAAAATTATCAATACAATCAAAGGAAGTATATATAATCTTTGAGTTTTTTCTATTTACATACACACAAAAAAATTTACAATTCCAAGCGTTTTTATATGTCACATTCATTATATTCTAACAGCAAAGATAATCAAAAAGAGAAGAGAGATATTGAATTTCATTTGATTTATTAGATAATTTTTGATTTTCAAATTGTATGCAGTTGTTATTGGAATTAGAATTTTTGTTAGTCGAAATACCCTAATTCCGAACCAAATCTTTTATTTCTATTTTTACTTTATTTTACTTTATTTTATATCTGCATTTATTTATCCCTTATACTTTATTTCTTATTTTATTTTTATTCATATTTATTTACATTTTTATTATTTTATTAACACATATAAACAAGGTTACAACTGAGAACGCAATGTGAGCTTTTGCTTTTCGTGTTACAAAACACGCACGCGAGAATAAAAATTCAATCAAGTTAGGTTTTGCGTCTTCTTCGTCGCAAAGAGCAAAAAAATGACATCACTTGGGACAAGACAATAGTCTATTTTATTAAATTTGAAACATATAAATAGGACAGCCGTCCAAACTTTTTTTTTTGTTATTTTTTCGTAGAGAAATTCTTCTTAGGCCATTTCAGCGCACGGAACTCAACCTTCTACATTCGGCCACATAAAATAATTGTCGTTATTATTATACAACGTTATTACAAGAGAGACCGTTCTGGTAACACAAAATTTTAACCCACGCAATTGACCAATTAAAATCGAGAATTTAAAAATAATCACTTCACGAACAATTGTTTCATCAACAAATGGCTCGAATTTAAGAAGCTGGAAGCAACCATTTGAAATAGTCTAACAAATTAAATCGTATTACTCGAAAATGTATTTAAAGGGTTGGTTTTCGACTTGGTTGAAGAATAACTCTCTTCCTAACTCTTCTCTTGACCA